CGTGCACTTCTTGGTGTTGACAGACATTTTGTTTGATGATGCCCACTCTGACACTTGGTTGAGGGCGTCTTGTAACGAGATGTTGCTTTGCTCTCGTTTGTGATTGTGTTTCATGTCGTCCACATGTTTGTAGATCTTCACGTGCGGAATATTATCCTCATTTACCATTATCAGGAACAATACTAGGGCGAGGACAGTTCCTTGAGGGGCACCGCAGTGAAGATCAGTTTCATCTGATGTTTTGTTGTTTGCACGAGTCCTCTGGGAGCCCCATTTCTCCCAGCCCTCGTGAAAACCCAGGGAAATCATATTCTTGATTAAGGTGGTGTGATCGATATCAAATACTTTCCGCAGGTCGATGGGGACGGCGGTGACCTCAAGTCGCTTGTCTAAATTTGAAGTGATGTAATTGTTCAGGTCAACTAGGTAGTGGACACTGGAGCTACACTTGATGTTTCCGAATTGGCGATGATCTAATCTGAGGATGAATGCTTTCCACAATTCCTTAGCAATTATTCTCTCGAGTATTTTGCACGGAATAGGTGTTAGTGATGTAGGCCTAGGGTCATCGAGAGAATCTGGTGGATTTGTTTTGGGAATTGAGACTTTAATTGTAAGCTTCTGTAGACCAGGTACCACGTCCTCAGTGATAGAGCTATTAAAGATGTCGGATATGGAGTGGCGAGCACGGGAGCGAATTCTTGTAGTAATTTTAGTGGGGTGTCATCAGGGCCAGATTTTCTTTTTCTTTTTTTTGTTAACCTTTTAAATGCTGATACACGTCGTATTCGCTTACAATTGCTTGTAGAGGGCGCGAGGGTAAGTAAGCTGGCAGTTCTGTTGTTTGTAGTGGTGGGAGTAGCTTGTTAATGTTAGCTAAGTGACAGTTGATGATGTTAGTAGCGATTTCTGACGAGTCGGCAATTCCGCTGATGTGAGATAGGTAACTGTCACTTCTTTTGTCACCGATTATATTCCTAATGTGGCTTTACCATGATTTGTGATTTGCTTCGCTGATTTTATAAATAAATCTGCTTATGATAATTTTTCTTAGTCGATTTTATCTCTCGTCTCACCTTATTTGCTAAGTACTTTGTTGCATCGATGTTTGTTATTTTGTAGGCTTTTTGTCTTGCCAGGATAAGGTCTTTGATCCTGTTGGTGACCCCATGGTTTATCCTGATGTTGAGTGGATGCTTTTTTTAAGGGGAAGCAGTTGTCAACTTGATTCCAGACTGATTAATAGAATTTTATAGTTGGCCTTTAGCATTCGGGTCGGGCGTTGAACACGTCTTTAGAGTAATGGTTGCAATGATGATGATTGTTATTGTTGTTATTAATTTTATCTCCGCCATGATCATCATTACGATTATAATTGTTTTTAATAATGTTAATATTAGCAGTATTGTCATTATTATTATTATTATTATCATTATTATTGTTGATGATAAACTTATTATTGTAATCATGATCATTATTATTATTATTATCGTTATTATTATCGTTGTTATTCTGATTAGTATCGATGCCATTATTATCATTGGTAATAGTAGTAGTAGTAGCATTGTAATTGTTATTATTATTATTATTATTTTCATTTTCATTCATTATTGCTATAATTGTTTTTTGTTGTTGTTATTTACTATTATTATTATTATTATTATTATGGTTATTACTATTATTATTTTGATTATCATTCTTATTATTCTTATTTTTATTATCATTATTATCATTATTATTATCTTTATTATGATAGTAGTTATAATAAGGATAATAATGGTATTAATGAAAATGATGATAATAATGATAATGATAATTCGTTAGTGTTATTATTATTATTATTGTTATTATTATATTCATAAAGATGATAATAATAATAATTATAATAGTAATAATAATAATAACAATAATAATAGTAATAGTACTACTACTACTAATAATGATAATAATAATGATAACATTAACATGATAATGATGATGATAATAATAACCATAATAATTGTATTATTAATGATGATAGTAGAAGTAGTAGTTGTAGTAATGATAAAATAATGATGATTTAAATAATGATAGCAATAATGATAGTAATAACAATCAAAACAATATTAATGATAGTCATAATCACAATAATAATGATAATAATAATAATAGCAACAATAATAATGATAACGATAATAAAATTTACAATAATGAAAATAATGACGATAATAATGAAAATATTAAATACAAAAATACCGATGGGAATAATAATGATAATACTATTAGCAATGATGATTATAATGACAATAAAAAATATAAGATTGATACATAAATTATGAAATGACACTTCCATTTATCTCACAAAGAAATCTTTCTATTGTCATTTCTGGTCTGCTGGTCACGTCAGACACTTCTCTCTGATCTGGCAAATGAAACCTCTATATTGCCTTGGAAACCTCAACTTTCTTCCCCTATTTTCCTCCTCCTATTAATATCTTGTCACATCTCGGTCTTACAGCAT